TTTAAAAAATTACTACTTATTTTGGGATATAATAGGTGAAACAGAACTAATGTCTGAAATTTAAAGTTACCTCTAAAACTTATGTTTTTATAAATTTAAGAACTACTTAATACAGGCTCAAAATCACAAAACTTAAGAACTCAGAATATCCCGGAATTGCAACAGGTATGTTCTTTTCACAAGTCCCAGCCCCAAATACCCACTCCAAACTAGCTTCTCAAACTTAACCAGACTATGCTTTAGTTTTTCAATGACTGCTTTCAGGTTAGTAACTAAATTCATAGATCAGTGGAGATAATACGGAAGATATTATATTGTCTTCTATAAACATAAGGAAGATATTATATTGTCTTCTATAAACATAATTCTAGGCATAGTAAAAACAGTGACAAGAAAGAAGCACATAGAAGATGGCTCTTACCCACACAACTCCGTCCATCTCCCTGGTACCCAGGTGCACACTCACAGGTATAGGCTAAACCTGTCCCTGGATGGCACTGTGCTGTTGTGTCACATGTGTGGCTGCCATCATAGCAAGGATTAACTGGAGCAGGGTCTGAATCCCCTGTGTGGGTAGAGAGGAAATAAAAAACAAAAGCACAATCTGAATGTTGTAAAGAGAAGGCGACCAAGGCACAGAAAGGAGACAGAAGAGTCCTTGGAACTGACTGTACACTTGTCTGTGTTTTGTGGCACACCTGGTGACCTTGCAAAATTATTACTATCCAAGGGTAGGGTGAATTTCCAATATGGCCTCCTCTTGCCTACACTATGACAATTAACATTTTCTTGCTTTCAGTAGGTTTGTGTCCAGGGAATAAAAATATCTAACACATGGCTTTAACTTCCTGGTACCACCTCCTCCTGGACTTACTATCGTTCTACTGTCTCACCCGTGTCTCCCCATCCCTTTACCTTGTGTGGGTGGGACTTACCAAAAGTTAACTCCTAGCCTAGACCCTAAGTACTTACTGCTATATCCTACCTCATAGACTGGATTCCTCCTAGTCCTTCAGGACATCTGGTTATCTCCCCAGTGCTTGCCCCACTGCCCAGGATATGGCCCTTCCAGTTTTTTCTATTAGTTTGAACTAAGATTCTTTGCTAGGTCCCAGATGGGATACCCTTGCTTTCTGGTAAACTCTGACTATTTAAGAAAATGACAGTATATCCTTGGAGTAAAATATTCTCATATTATTGCCCAAATAATTCCCTTATTATTGCCTAAAAATAAGAAGGGCCATGGGTTTATTGTTGCTTCACCTCAATGACATTGGTTGGAGTAATAGAATCTTGGCCAAGTCAAAGGACCATCAAACAGCTCCAGCACTATTTAAACATGATGAACTTCAGTATGTCAGCATAAACCTAGCTCCCCAAATGCAGCATACATCCTTAGAAGTCCCACTGTGCCTTTTTATCTCCTCATCCCTCCCTCTGGATCTCTTGGCAGATGGGAAGGAAGCACAGCACTAGCTTAACTTGATAGTGTAGACCAAGTTCCTGAGTCAGCACCCAGCATAGGTTACAGCTGAGAATAGCAGGGTCACGTCCTCACTGAAGGCCTGAGGTAAGATAAGAACTTGATTCTCCCCTATTATTATTTCTCCATTTTAGAAGATTCCATACAAAATGACTGGCCTACCCAGCAAAGGTGGAAAGTAATCTTCAACATGTTTTAATTCATAAATACTAACTGAGCCCTGGTGGCATAGTGGTTAAGAGCTCGGTAGCTAAACAAAAGGTCAGCAGTTTAAATCCACCAGCCGCTCCTTGGAAATCCTGTGGGGCAGTTCCACTCTATGAGTCAGAACTGACTCGACACTTAACAACAACAATGCTTAGCCTTCTAATTCAATACTTTCCAGCATCAAAATGTCACCATGGCACATTCTAACAAAAAGTTCAGTGAGAATACACAGATGTCAAGAGCTTATTACCCTGTTAGGCATTACAAGCAGGAGGAGGAGTAAAAGCAGCCCACTTGAAAATAGTTGCCTTGCAAACTTGGACAAGATACATTAGTTTACCTGAAATTGAGAAGAAAACGTCCATAATTCACAATGCGGATTTCAAATGCACTTCACTGACAAGACCAGCTACATAATTGGTAGAGCTCAGTGCAATGGAAATGCAAGTTATTAAGAATTTCAAGATGGCACCACAGAGTATTAAGCCAAGCATGGGGGCCTTCTGAGTGCAGGGCCCTGTGCAACAGAGGTCACATGCCCACAAAGCTGGGACTGTTCACTGAATTTTGTTTCCAAAAACATTATTTTTTCATATTCTAAAACTACTTGGCTGTTCATTCTCTATGGTTTGTTAGCTTTTCTCCTATTATAGTTTAAGTGTAGAAATATCCTTCTTAAGACTTTTTCTACTTCACCCTCACCCTCTTAAACTGCTTGACTCTGACAAAAGATCTGGAACTAATTTACTCATTTAATCAAGAGGGGAAGAGTGGTTTCCCTTAAAGGAATAGTTTTTGGCTGCACCCATTCAGCTTCACTGTGTGGGCCTCTGCCCAAAGTCTCCTCAATTCGCCCAAAGGACCCCTGAAGTGGGAGCAAGGACAGGAAGCATTACTGGATCCTGTTCTGTGACCCCACAAAAAACAGCCAACCCACATATGAAACTCAAACAATTGGTATGGGGAGGGGGAAGTGTTGGGAAGTCAGCACTGGCTACAGGCTCTGGTTACTCACTGGGAAAGACACAATAGTGCATTCTAAACCCTGGGAAACCATGATGCTCCCACACCAGGTACAGGCAGCTGTGTTGTTTTACTTGCATTCCAACCAGATAATAGCTCCCTCTGGAAAAAGCAAAAGACAAGAAGGATACCGCTACACATCAAGAGGGAAAGAAAAAGAAAGGTTTTATTTTTGTTGTTGCTGCTTTCTTTTTCTTTCTTTCTTTTTTTTTTTACTCTTTCGTTTTTCTCCTATTGATGTAGAATAAACAGTACTGCTGTTTTATGTTGGGTGATGAAGTAGAATTCAATTATAAAAAGTTAATTCAAACATACCCATTCTCTCTTTTTAAAATTTGGTCTAAATTCTGAGGCAGTCCCAGGCCAGTCAAGTCTATCCTAGCTCACCATTTATTAGTTGTACACAGGCAAACTACTTCACTGCTACACCTCAGGTTCATTATTTGTAAAATAGGGATAATAACAACCTCCACTGGGGTAGAGGTTGTTGTAAAGATCAAACGAGTTAATTCATGTAAGGTACTTGGAATAGCCCTTGGTACTTTCCAGTTTTCTGGTTTTCTCTGGCCTCACGTTTGGCATGTCCCTGAGAAGAACACACCCAGAGATATATGTTTCCCTAAATGATTTCACAATCTGAATGGGACTCTATGGCCTTGGAATCTCTTGCACAAATGGCTGTTTTTACAGATCAGAGCTTATACCCAGCAAAGGGCTGAGCAGGACATTTATAGGTAAAGGATGTTTTCCCCAGCTGTTTTTGTTTAAATCTCTCCTTCAGAAATCTGCACCGGAGCCCTGGTGGCGCAGTGGTTAAGAGGCATGGCTGTTAACCAACAGGTCGGTAGTTTGAATTCACCAGGTGCTCCTTGGAAACCCTATGGGGCAGTTGTACTCTGTCCTATAGGGTCTCTATGAGTCTATAATGGCAAGGGGTTTGAGAAATCTGCGATAACAATTCTTTCCCTTCCAAATTTACATGTTCCTCTAAAATCAACTGATGTTTTCATATTATTCACTACCTTACAGTCCTGTCTCCAGACACCCAGTGCCTACACTCCCCAACCAAGTTTCCTAAAACCAAACCAACAGACTCAGGATTCTCATAACAAGTCATCTCTGCCTCCCAGAGAAGCATCTAGTCCTCTTTCCTTAAGATCTTGCTATCTTCAGTGGCGCTTCCATATGAGCTTCATTGAGCCTGGGGAAGCTTAAGGGGCCCTCCACTCCAGTAATAAAGCCCAGAATTGCTTGTGAGTTACAGAGTCACCTCTCTGAGGTGCCAGTTTTGGACTGACTAGTACCAATATGGAGACTGGATAAAGAGGACATTCTTTTTCTCCTCACATGCTTCTCGAATTCTGGGGGAAAATACTACCAACTGCCTTTCAGAATTAAAACGTCTCCTTGATCTGACTTAGCGTAAATGCCCCTCTTATCTGCAGAGCTCCCTGACCTCAGAGAATCATCCTCTGGCTTGCCTAGAACATTTTTATCTGCATTTTCATCAAGCTTTGCAGCCAATGCTAATGCTCATTGAAGTTTGAGAACTACTGCTTTAGAGCTTTATTTTGCTTTTTTTTTTTTTTTACAACTTTTAAAAAAAAAATTAGATATAATTCACATACACAAAATTCACCCATTTAAAGTATACGATTTTTAGTATATTCACAGATTTGTGCAACCATTACCACAATCAATTTTAGAACATTTTCATCACCCCAAAAAGAAAGCCCATACCCTGTAGCTTTCACTTCCTATCTTCCCAACCCCCTCTACCCCTAGGCAACCACTAATCTATTTTTTGTCTCTGTAGATTTGCCTATTCTGGACATTTCATATAAATTGAACCATAAAATATGTGGTCCTTTGTGACTAGCTTCTTTCATTGAGCATAATGTTTTCAAGGTTCATCCATGTCGCAGCATATATCAGTACTTCATTCCTTTTTATGGCTGAATAATATTCTATTAAATGGATATACAATATTTGTTTATCCATTCATTAGTTTACGAACGTTTGGATTGTTTCTACCTTTTGGCTATTATGAATAATACTGCTGTGAATATTTGTTTACATGTTTTTGTGTGGACATATGTTTTCATTTCTCTTGAGTACATAACTAGAAGTGGAATTGCTGGGTCAAACGGTATCTTTATGTTTAATGTTTTGGGAAACTGCTATACCCTTTTCTAAAGTGGCTACACCATTTTACATTCCCACTAGCAATGTATGAACATTCCAATTTCTCCACATGCTCACCAAATTCAAGGTCACGAAAATGTACCCCCCTATTTTCTTCTGAAAGTTCTACAGTTTTAGCTCTTAATTTAGGTCTTTGATCCAGCTGGAGTTAACTTTGGATATGGTGTGAGATAAGGATCCAACTTCATTCTTTTGCATGTGGATGTCCAATTGTCTCAGAACCATTTCTTAAAAATACTATTCTTTCCCCCACTGATTGTTTTGGCACCCTTGTTGAAAATCTACTGACTGTAAATAAGAGCATTTATTTCTGGATTCTCAATTCTATTCCATTGATCTGTATGTCTATTCTTATGCCAGTACTACACTGTCTTGATTACCCAAAGTTTTGAAATCTGAAAGAACGAGTCCTCCAATTTTGTTCATCTTCTTCAAGATTACTTGGTTATTCTGGGATCTTTGAGTTTTCATATGAATTTCAGGATTAGCTTGTCAATTTCTGCAAAGATGTCAGCTGAGATTCTGGTGGGGATTGGGAGGTATAAACATCTTAAGAATATTAAGTCTTCCAATCCTTGAACATAGAACATCTTTCTATTTATTTCGGTCTCCTTTAATTTCTTTCAAAAATGTTTTGTACAAGGGTGAACTTTGGTGAAGGGAAGGACAACACACAATACAGGGGATGTCAGCACAACTGGACCAAAGCAAAATCAAAGAAGTTTCCTAGACACATCCAAACACTTTGAGGGACAGAGGAGCTTGGGCTGGGACCTGAGGATCATAGTTTCAGGGGACATCTATGTCAACTGGCATAACATAGTTTATAAAGAAAATGTTCTACATCCCACTTTGGTGAGTAGCATGGGGGTCTTAAAAGATTGCAAGCAGCCATCTAAGATACATCTATTGGTCCCATCCCACTCAGAGCAAAGGAGAATAAAGAAAACCAAAAACACAGGGAAAATACTAGCCTAAAAGACCAAATGAATCAGAGACTTCACCAGCCTGAGACCAGAACTAGATGGTGCCCGGCAACCACCAATGACTGCCTTGACAGGGAGGGAACATAATAGAGAGTTCCGGACAGGGCAGGAGAAAAATGTAGAACAGAATTCAAATTTACGTAAAAAGACCAGACTTAATGGTCTGACAGAGACTGGAAGGAACCTCCGAAACTATGGCCCTCAGACACTCTGTTAACTCAGAACTGAAGCCATTCCAGAAGCCTACTCTTCAGACAAAGATTAGACAGGACTATAAAACAAAAAATAATACATGTGAGGAACATGCTTCTTAGTTCAATCAGATATACAAGACCAAATAGGCAGCTCCTGTCCAAAAGCAGGATGAGAAGGCAGAAAGGAACAGGAAGTGGTCGAACAGACGCAGGGAATCCAGGGTGGTAAGGGAGAGTGTGCTATCACATTGGGGAGATTGCAACCAATGTCACAAAACAATATGCATGTAAATTTTTGAATGAGAAATTAGCTTGAGCTACAAACTTTCACCTAAAACACAATTTAAAAAAAAAAACATAAAAAAAAATGTTTTGTAGGTTTCAGTGTACAAGTATAATATTACATTTCTTTTGTTAAATTTATTCCCAAGTATTTTATTCTTCTGAAGTGGAATTATTTCTTAATTTGATTTTCATTTTGCTTATTGCTACAATATAGAAATATAATTCATTTTTGTATATTGATCTTGTATCCTGCAACCTTGCTGAACGCGCTTACTAGTTCTAATATTTTTTAGTGGATTCCTTAGGATTTTCTGTCTACACGATCATACTATTTGAGAACAGAAATAGTTTTACTTATCTGAGAATAGAAATAGTTTTACTTTCCTTTTCCAATTTGGATGCTTTTTATTTCATTTTCTTGCCAAATTGCCCTAGTTAGAACCTCCAGTACAATCTTGAATAGAAGTGGCTAGAGCAGGCATCCTTGACTTGTTCCTCATGTTAGGGGGAAAGCATTCAGTCTTTCACCATTATGTAGGAAATTAATTGTAGGTTCTTCATTGATACAATTTTATTTTGTTTTGTTTTCCAGGCATTGGTTCTTTGCCCCACCTTGGTTTGGTGAAATTCTTCCCATCGGTTTTAGCTAAAATGTCACTTTCTTAGGGATATGTTCCCTGAGCCTCCAGACTAGGCTCATAGCATCCTGCACTTATCCCAATAACAAATACTCATCAGCATCATTCTCCCTCCTAACTTGGCTCCACAAAGGCAGCAGCTATGCTGTCTTGTTCACAGATATATCCCAACACAGATTAGCACACACAATTGAGTGTTGCTGCAAAACAGCTTCCCCTACTGTGTTTCATTTCCTGGCCTTGGCAGGGGCCACTGTTCTGACAGTTTCTGTTTCTGCCTCTGTCTCTATCTCAAGGACAGAGACTCTGCTTTATTTGTCTTTGCACCCCAGCACCGAACACAGTTTGGCACTCAGTAACTTCTGTGAATTGCTGAGGCTACTCAAAAAGGAATGAAGAAAGAAGGTTAGATGCAATTCATGCCCAACAACAAGAAAAAGGGAAACCTTACCTTCAACATGGCCAATTTGATTGGTTACAGCAAATCTAAGCACTCTTTCTTCATCATTGTACAAGGCAAAGACCCGGTCTACATTCAGCTGCTGGGTGGTAGGGATGGCCTGGTGTTTAGGGGCGTGCCTACAGGTCTGGTATGTGATGTTCTGGTGGATTCGGTAGGACCGTGTTTCGTTGATGGCACCAAATGTGAGAGAGTAGTCTCTGGAACTGGTAGAGGTCACAACTGCAATAGATACATTATAGAGTCAAACTTGTGAGTTGGTGAGTGAATAGAGAGAGAGATAGATGGGTAGATAGATGGGTAGATACATACAGAGATTTCCATGTGGGGTAAGTTTTTCTCCATAGTTTTTGTTGTTGTTATTGCTTAACGTGCTTATTCTTTTAAATAGTTGCATGATCACAGTTCACCAACTCATACCAAATATATATATAATCTTACTACTAAAACAGTTTGTGGAGATTGGTGCATGGCAAACCTATTTAATATTTTGAGGTTCATTCTTAGATATTAACGCTAAATAATGACAATTATGCATTTAAGTTCATCCACTGTACATCTTGACCTTTAGCAATTCCACACACACAACAGCTTATTGTGCTATCTTTTAAACATGAGAAATAAGAATATTTTACTTTCCAGTTACATTTTCATCTAATTCCTGGAGCAAGCACCCTTGGGAACTACGAGTTTATATGGAATACTTGCAAGGCAATCCCTAGAACCTGAGTGGAGGCAAAGCCAAAGTACTGAGAGGGAGGAGGTGCTGCAACTGTTGCTGTCATTATAAGCAAAGAATAAATGTTACTATGTGTCAGCCACACCAAGTGCTCTATATGCATTGCCTCATTTAATCCTCACAACAGCCCAGTGAAGTAGGCAGTACCATCCTTTGGGCAAAGGCTTACAGAGGTCAGATAACTAGCCAAAACTCATGAGGCTGGTATGTGGCGGAGCTGGAAATCATGTCTGCCTGACTCTATACCTCAAGTTTTTAACTAATCCATCCTCTATATTGCACACAACTTCTACTGCTTTTCACTTAGTAAGTCTGAAGCATTCTAGGGAAAGGAAAGGGTCCTTTCTCTCAGTCTGAGTTGGTGAGTCCAGAGGTCAGTCAAGTTATCTGGCTGTAAGCTGTTTTGTGCTCAGTCTGGGACTCAGCTTCCCATTCTCTCCCCGACCTCTCCTGCCTGGCTTCCAGCACTCACACTGCAAGAGAAGCAGGGGCCAGGAGGAAAGGCGCAACTCAAACCAAACCACTATGCAAGACAGCAGCTGTGGTTGAGGCAGTATCTTGCATTCAGGTAGTGTTTCACAGAATGCATCAGACTTTACAAATATTATCAACCACATAAGGGAGACAGAAAAGGTGTTATTATTACCATTCCAAAGATATAAAAATAGGTTTTCAGATGTTAACTTATTTTTCCCACAGATTTTAAATGGCACATCTAGGATATGAGTTCCTGTTTTCTGACTCCAAACCCAACATTAATTTTACAAAACTATGCAGCATCCTTTCTGTGATTTTAAAGGATGCTGAAGCTATCAGCTGGAGCAAGGTTACAGGACAAGTATAACGTCTAATAATCAATATTTTTCCATGCCTCAGACAGCATGATTGTTAAAAAATGTATATAATTATATGATTCCTACCCATCTCCATAAACAACGTTGTGATTATTATTTGAAAGTACTGGGTAGGGACATTGATATTCTTGTGTACAGCAGCCAGAACCCTGTTCATTTATACTATATTTGATAATAACAATAAGGAGAATAAAAATAATAAAAGCAATATTGAGCTCATATTATATGCCACACACTGTTCTAAAGACATTCCATGCATGAATTCGTTTAATCCTCACAAAAACCTTGTGAGATATTATCATCCCCATTTTACAGATGTAAAAACTGGTTACACATACCTGAGTCAGAGTAGTGGTAAAGCTCCTTGTAGGGAGCAATGTGGGCTGTGAAATTTGCTGGGATGTAAGGCACCTGGCCTCGAATGTTGGTCTTTATACTCAGATAATTCTCTGGGTCAAGTCCCTCAGCATTTTGAGTGATATGAACCCTCTCCTCTCCTGGGTAGAAGGTAACTTCCATGTCATGGGTAAAGGTAGCACCTGGGAGAGGAGAAAAATTCAGAACAAAGGCATGAAAAGAGGCTTTGCTTATACAATTACCAGTACACATTTTCTCCCCCCAATTTCTACCAGTGTTACAGATGGTGCCTAAGAGATATCTGATATCCAAGACTAAATACTCTCAGCTGCTGATTCCATACATTTCCAAAAAATGTTATTTAAAGAGTGTGGTTTCATCTTGCCTCACACCACTTCTCTTTGTAGACACTTGTTTTCCGTGAGAAATAAAGTTGCCATATTTAGTTGAAAAAAAAATACATGACTTTGAATTTTAGATAAACAACAAATTATTTTTAGTATAAGTATATCCCATGCAATATTTGGGGCATACAGATACTAAAAATTATTCGTTGTTTATCTAAAATGCAAATTCAACTGGGTGTACTATATCTTATCTATCTACTTTTGAACCCAGATTTTAATCATTCCTTGACTAAAGCCAAGGTTCTATGAATAGTTATTAAGCACTCCTACTGGAGGTAGGGAAGAACTCTTCTCACAGCACTTTATTTCATGTGCAATAAAGATAAATTCACTAGAAAACAACCTTTTTCAGGTGGTAAGCTGACGAAACCCAAAAGTATCCTATATATACTTCTATCAAAGGGTGGTCCTTGGACAAGCAGCATCAGCATCTCTTGGGAGCTTGTTGAAAATGCAGACTCTAAGACCCCATCCTGGGCCTACTGAATCAGAATCTGCATTTCAACAAGATTTGTGTACAGTTTAAAGTCTGAGAGATGTTCCCTCAGAGACAGGAGGGACATGGGGATGGGAAAGGAGGAAAGACACCCTTGTTCCCATCAAGTAAAATCATCTCCCATTGAACCTATTGCCATCGAGTCGATTCCAACTCATAGCAACCCCATAGGACAGAGTAGAACTTCCCCGTAGTGTTTCCAAGGCTGTAATCTTTATGGAAGCAGACTGCCACACTTTCTCCTGCAAAGCAGCTAGTGGGGTCAAATGAGGGCTTTGAACCAGTTCGTTCAGGTTTGAACCCCTGCTGAGAATTTGTATTTCTAACAGGTTCCCAGGCAATGCTAATGCTGCTGGTTAGGGACCAATTTTGAGAACCACTAGTAGAGCAGTGGTTCTCAAAATTTGTTCTACATAAGAATCACCTGAGGATCTTATTAAACTGTAGATTCTGATTTAGTATATCTGGGGTGGAAAGGCAAATTCTCAGCAGGAGTTCAAACCAGAGCAAACTCGTTCAAAGCCCTGGTTTGAGCCGCCAACATTCTGGTTAGCAGCCAAGCACTTAACTACTGCGCCACCAGGGCTCCTCCAGGTGCCCTAAAATTACCATTTTTGCATCTCTGTTTGACAGATCTGTGCATAATAACTCAACCAAAGTCTGACCAATAAGTAAGCTTCAACAAATTGGAGTGAGCAGACACAAATGCTCTAAAAGGAATAATCCTATTTCTCAGAGCAGCTGGGAGAATATTTAGAAAAAATCACTGTCAGTCAAAAGTCAGTTGTGCAAGGCCAAACCATCTCTACCTACTCCAGTCAGAAAACTATGCAGCTGTGGCTCTAGAATATTAAACAGCAAGTATCCCTCATTACATAAAGCCCAAGGCCCAGCCCCGACGAGCAGTGCCTCTGAAGCAATACTGAATATCACCCCTCCTAGACTCTCTGCTCACCTGTGATGCTGAAGCCATTCTCCGAACCTGGTTTTTCTAAAGCAAAGAGCCAACCATATAGGCCTCCAATGGGTGTGAGGGGGAGAAGAGCCTGGGCCGCGGGCTGTGGGATGTGGCTGATGGCCGTGTATGCTCTGCCGTCATTGCCCACGATGTAAGCGTGCAGGTCCACATCAGTGAAGTGCACGGGAGTATGGCCCACGCGGACGTGGCCACTCACTTTCCCGTTGACTCGATGAGGTGCCCCTAAACAACAGCAATTACAGTCATCCTTGGCTATCACCCAGGCTGGGGGTGGGAGCACAAAAGTAAAATAATTCCAGTGACAACTCCCAAAACCCACTCTTTTGCAAGCCATTTTAACTGGTTCCCAAACCAACCAATTATTCGTCTAAGAAACAGATTTGTGTTCTCTTCCATTCTCCCTCTCTTCCCTCAACTTTGGCTCCAATGAGCTGGGAAAAAGGAGAAAAATTTCTGAATAACCCTCAAATTGGAAATCAGCCCATATATGTTCATTCCTCAAACATTTTTTATTGAGCACCTACAAGTTACTAGCTCTTTGATTCAAGTAGTGGCAGTGCAGAGTCAATAAAGCGGAGCTCACAGAGGTAGCCGGAATCAAGCAAGCAGCAAAAACATACGCAGAGCAGCCCCCGCCCCTCACGGAGCCAGCACCAATCACCTTCTGGCAAACAGTGCTTTCCGTTTCCGTAAAACCTGGACTGGCAGTGGCAGCAGAAGCCGGTGGCGTAGTCAGTGCAGAAGGCATGCTGGGAGCACTGCCTGTGGTTTTGTTCACAGGTTTCCTTGTTGGCAGCATTATAGGTGAAGACTGAAAAATAAAACAAACTCACATTAAAAGGACTAAGTGATTCCAGCATTGGAGCTGCCAAGCTTCCTCATAGACAAGGCATCTGCTCCATAAAATCAGTTTAGATTTGCAATAAACAAATAGATTTTGATGTTTAAGAGACAGGAATAACATTCAACCCAGGGGAATTAAATTACTTTGTCTTCTGACAAGAAGTATTGCTTACTGTTCCCATATGGGTCTCATTTCAAAGTCGGTGAACTCAGAGGAGACTGGACGGCTGTGGTTTGAGTGCAGTGAAATGAAAGCAAACCAGTAAGTATATGTTAGGTTAAACTGTATGAAATTGCCAGTATTGTATATCAAAATGGTTAAATATTAGCAATTTTATATGGTTCAATCAAATAGTAATGACCTCCTGAAAGGAAGGCAAAAGAGAAACTATCAAATACAGTTTTCGTGTTTAACCATTCTTCTCTTAGACAGAACTTAAAAAGAATAGTCTATAGCTTGTCTCACTGCCAGAAAAAATTTTTTTTTTTCCTGAGAGGGAAGAAGAGCCTTAAAGAAAACACACCTTAAGGAAAAGGATTTATTATGATGACTATGGCAAAGCAGAATTTCCATTCAGTAGTATAGAGGTCTATGCCAGAGTTAGTTTCTAGGCAGCCATGGTGGACCAATGTAGGCTTCCTTCAATCAGTAGCTGTTCCTTCAATCTCTCACTTTGCCCATTAAAAAGAAAAAAGAAAAGGGGCCATTTGTACAGCAAAGAAACAAGAGGGCTGGAGCAAATGCCATTGTCCATAAAGGAAAAGGTCAAGGGGGTGGGGCATGGTAAGTGGTCATGGGTGGAAAAGAGAGCTTTCTCCCAGCACACTGGGGGATGCCGATCCCAAGTATGGCCACAAGGTGGCAAAGTGGCTGCACACACCTCTGCCTCCTGGTCCCCAGGAGCTGGAGTTGTTTGGAGACTCCAGGAGCATACTGATGACTCACGGATGGCATAGTATTCTAGCATCAGACACTGACTGGTGTCAAGTGCCAGCTCTGAGGATGAAAGATACCTTATTCTTAGGAAAAACTAAGTGGTAGTTCCATGTCTAGGTTTGGAAGAAGGAAATGAGAGGGGATACAAGAAAGTAAAAGATCAATATTCACCCAGTATTCCAGGAGAGAACAGAAAGCAAACAAACTAATGGGGAAGATATAGCAGCATATCTATAACAATAAAGCCCGTAGAAAGCCTTGTATCAGCAAGTGAAAATAAAAGTTAACATTTAACTTAATATATGGCAGCTATGTGCTTAATATATGGCAGATAGTATTCTAAGAGCTTTACAGTTATTAACTCTTTTAATTTGCACAACAGCCTAGGAAGAAGGAACTATTTTTATTCCTGTTTTGTAGATTAAAAAAAACTGAGACACAAAGGGTTAAAGTGGCTTGCCTGAAGTTGAGATTTGAACCCAGAAAGTCCAGCTGCAGAATCCACATTCTCAACCGCTGTACTCTGCTACCTCTGCATTGGTCTTTGGACCCCAAGTATCTAGATTATGAGAGCTAGGTGAAGGAACTGATTAGGTGTTTGCATTTAGTCAACATGGGCTCAATGATCAAGATTTGAGTCATACTTCGTAAGTCAGGCTTAGCGGTAGAAGACAGCAGAGAAGATTATTCCAGATGGATATTACAGCACATTTGAAAAGCATGGATAAGAAAAAATGATAGTAGTACAGTAGCATTAGCTTTTGGATAGTGCTTTATTGCTGCTTGTACAGATCCTTGAAGAAGCAGCCAGATGTGGGTTGGCAGAACAAACTGATAAAAACTTGACTCCAGTGGAATATCTGATTTGGAACCTAGTAGGAATGAAGTTGTTGACTCAAGATTTGTTACAGGGTCTTGATGACTCAACTGAGAAATTCCACTTTGATAAAAATAGAAAATTAGGCAAAATGTTGAACATTTTTTAACAGGAAAGTGGTAAAACTCAAGGCAGAAAAAAAAGGGTGGATAATGATAAAAAAAATCATAGCTGTTGCTACGGGGAAAATAACATACACTCTATTAGTTTATGAAAAGGAAAGGGGGATATTTTGAGTAAAAAGAAATGAATGTAACTTGGGTGTGTCAAGAACTCAGTTTTCCTCAGCTCAGAAAGTCACAACCAGGTGGGGCTGAGAGGGAGAAAGAGTGTTGGGCTCACAGCTCTGTGCCAAGAAGCGCAGCTCAGAGGGCTCACGCACTCATCAGCCACCAGTCATAACTCTTGTCTCTCAGAACACAAGGGAACAAGGCTCTACAACTCAGTCTTTACAGAAACTGTGTCTGCCTTGGCCTCCTCGTCTCTAAAAGCGGGATGACACCCCCTTCCTCACATCTGCATTGCCCCAAATCACATTTTCTCTTAAAGTATATCTGAGCACCAAGATAAAAAGGCAGTTTGATGCTGGTCTAAAAGGTATCATTTTTAGGAAATTCAGGTAAAAATAAAACCAAAAACCTATACACTATTCTGCCTCCCAAATTAAAGAAATGATGGATTTGTATTATATTCACTCTATTTCAGTTATTTTGTGAAGGTATGTTCTTTGACCTGATTCCTACTCTGAGAGTGGACTATGAAGCAGGCAGAGACTTGGAATGTGGGAGAGACCACAGATATGGAGAATTAGGTTAATATAACTAAAAACAAGAAGGCATGGCTTTCTATGGTAAAGAGAGACACAGCAATGCAGCCGGTAACTTACAAATGCAACTTGTGGAGACATTTACAAGGCGAGTGGAATGCAGACTGCATTTTTCTACAAAAAAATAATAAATGATGGTTAGGCCCCCATGAAAGGCTATTATAAGGTGGAAACTGTAATTACGATGGGTTAAATAGCTACTGGTAAGCTGGCCTGTAAATCTAGGTAACAATGTTGAGGAGACTGTATTCTCAGGAAGGAACTTTACTGAGCTCATTCTTCCAACCATAGATAAGGAAAGAAGGTCGGTTCTCATCTAATCAGGAGGAATTTAAGGCTCACTTTCTAATCCCTCTTCCATCCTCCACCCCCACTCCCCTCCTCCACACACACACACACACACACACACACACACATGCACACACAGATTTGCACACTTAACACTCACAAAGGCAGCTTGTTAGGTGAAAAGGTAAGTGCCCCTACCAATTTTCTTTCACTCATTCAATAATTCAACAGATATTTGCTGACATCTCACTATGGTGGTCCAGGAGCAGAGATAAAAAACAGAAAAAGTCCTGTCCTGAAGCTGAATTCTCTGGGCAGCAGTCAATAAACAAGTAAATTATTCAGTATGGAGGATGGTGTTAAGAGCAGGGAAGGATGATAAGGGTGGAGGGGTAGGTGCACTTTGCTTTGTTAAACAGAGTGGTCAGGGAGGATGTCTGGGAGCAGATGACCTTTGGGCAGAGGCCTGAAGGAGGTAATAAAATGAGTCACAGATTCAGGGAGGCATCGGCACTGTATCAGGCAGGCAGGGCGCGCCTCGCTGGGGTGGGGATGGAGGGGGGAGGCGGGAGCTGGAGAACAGTAGAGAAGGCCAGAGAGGGTGCTCTGACCAGCTCACATACAGCCTTGTAGGTCATAGTAAGGGTTTTGCCTTTAGCGTGAGTGAGATGGGAAGCGGCTAGAGGGTTTTGAGAAGAACAGAGACATGCCCCAACTTATGGGAAATCAGGAAAGAGATGGTGCCTTGGTAGTAAGAAGTGGTGGTAGAGAGGATGAGAAGGAACCAGATCTGAAATATCTTGAAGGCAGAGGCAACAGTTTGCTGATGATTCGATGTGGGGTGCAAGAGAAAGAGGAGTACAGGATGACATTCACGTTTTTCTGTGTGGAAAACTGGAAGGGTGGAGCTGCCATTTACTGAGATAGGGAAGACTGTGGAGGAGCAGGTCTGAGGGAGATTAGGTGCTCTGGTAATAGCTGCAAGGCATCAAGGAAGTTCCACCCCAGCTCTGACATCTACTTAGACCCCCAGCATGGCACCATTCAACCCTTCAGAAGCAGAACTGCGTTTCTCCCCAGGATTCCAGTGACCATTGCATCAGAATCACTGGAGATGCCTTTTAAAATGCAAATCCCCAGGGCCTGCCTTAGACCTGTGTACCAATTCCAGCTCTTTATGAGTGGATCCCAGGAATCTGCATTTTAGCAACCTCCCAGGTGATTCTTATGCCCACTGATGTTGATGTTGGTACTCAAAATGTTCACAGCCTGTCATTTCTGAGCTAGAGATTGCTCATTAAGGTAGCTAATGAACTGAACATGATCAATTATCAGCTCCTGGGGTGGGTAGAATTTCATGGAATGCTGTCGCATTTATTCCTGGTCATCTGAGAAGTGGAGCTCCGTATTGATGGCTTATTTAGGCGTAGATCTGCAAGAATGCAACATGAAGATCATTTCGTGGAGGTAACCCAGAAGCCAACTACCTTCGCTGGTGAAGGGAGAGAACGGAAGCTAGAAATGTGATCCCACATGCGGCTATCTTTCCAGAGCAAGAAAAGCCAAAATTCTGTCTCAATGTGACTTCTCAAATTCATGTGGGATTTGCAATTAGATCCAAAGATGCTGACCTACTTGAAGGCTCACAGTCAATGTCTGGGTCCCAGCTGGAAGGAATGTGCAATGAGCAAATGCAAAGACAAAGGGGCTTTTTTTTTTTTCCTTTTCAAGGCTTATTTGTTTGCCCCTTTATATCATAGTTCTCAAATGTATTTTTACAATATTTTTTTCCTATTCTGGTAAGGAGGTATCATCTCCATTTTAGAGATGAGAAAACTGAGGCCCATGGAGATTAAATGATCTCCTGGCTTTAAATCCCGTGCTCTTTCCACTATACTAGCAGTTTTTAAGTTCAGTGGGCATCCGAATCACCAAATGGCCTGGTTAAAAATGCAGATTCTGGTTCAGAAGGTTGAAGATGGGCATGGAAATTAGTATTTTTAGCATGGCTCCCAGGTGAGTTAGATGCAGGTGGATTAAAGCCTACACTTTGAGAAACACAGCTTTTATCCCACAGCCTACCCTCCCCTGTCCTTACCCACATGAGGCAGGCTGTCTGCTAGACCCTCTGGGGGCCCACGCTCCACCAGGGAGCACCTGTCATGGAGAGTCAAAGTGATAAAAAGACAAGCTGGCTGCCATCTTTGGGTTACAGCAGTAGGCAGGGACTGGCCAGTCTTGATGGAGTTCACTTCTTAACAGATTAGTTAGTTAAGGTTGGATAGTTGCTAAAGGAATCTTGGAGCCCTGGTGGCTCAGTAGTTAAGAACTTAATTCAACCGCTGCTGCTTGAGAACCCCATGGGGCATTTCTACTCTGTTCTACAGGTCACTGTGAGTCAGAATAGACTCGACAGCAACGGGCAATGGGTTAAAGGAATCTTAACACAAGGATTTAAAAAATCTCAGTTTTTCCTTTTTTTTTAAAAACTCTTCTCATACCCTTAAGAAGAAGAAAAGTGAGGTGGGGATATGTAAAAGGAAAAAAGCTAAGGTGCTGCCAAAGTTCTTAAGACTTATCCTAACTAGGAGTTTTTAACAAACATGGAAATCTCTGTCCTCTTTCTGACCCATCCTTCAATCTCCACTTTTCCAGAAACACTTAAGCGCTTGTCTTCAGCCCTTGGCCTGCCTGCCCTCCTTCACTGAGGGCTTTAACCCCACCAAGTGGGAAGTAGGCAGACTCCACGGTATAGACTTGAGTTCACTATGGGAACACAAAGGGGGTCAGAGGGCTTTGGGTTCGTGGTAGGGGTCGTTTTCTTCACATGCTCCCATGGTAGCTGGAGTGACTTTTAAAACAATTTTTTACTGTGGTATCAAGAAAAAGAACCAAGAACAACATGATGAACACAATTAATGTCACTGGACTATACACGTGAAGATTTTTGAAATGTCAATTGTTGTGTTACATATATATTTACCACAATAAAAATAAAAAAATAAAAGAAAAAGAACCAACATTTTCACTGCAGGAGAGATTTTTCTAAGTCTTGCCACCTCCCAGAAATGGTAAGAATGATAGACTAGCAAGAAAAAACCAGAAGCCACAACCAAGTTTAAAATTAAAAACAGTTGCATGTTTTTTCGTCCCGTTTCCACATTTATTTATTTTTGATGTGTGTGTGGTGCATAGTGATGCTGGTTGGGCAACATTACTAGGACCCTGGGGTGGTGGTTTACATCTGCTGTCACGACACTAACAACTCTCTCCACTTCTGATGAAGGAGCTCGGCCACCTACCTGCAAGGCGTCCCCCTGTGCTGGTGTCTTCAAAGGCATAGGGAGCCCTCCCATCCACACACCCTCAGCAACCTGGACGAGCACCCAGGATTAGTGCTTTTACACCTGGAGGACCACACTGGCAGTACAGCCTCTTCCAATTCATCCCAGGGTAGAAGCCACACTCCAGCCGCCCTTCCCGAGGCCAAAAGCGGAGTTGGACTGGAGGCCACAGGGAAATCCCTGTTCACACCCTGGGCTTTCCCAGCATGACTGCCAACCTAGTAGAAATATGAGGATCCCAAAATGCAGTATGATGTGACTGCTAAGGAGTCCTGAATGCCAGGTGCCCCTCCCCATTTCTAAGTCATCATGTAGCCTGAGGTTAAATGAAGCTTCCTACAGAATCACCTCAACAGGCTTAAGAACATGTAAGGTTCCTGTAAGTCAACCTTGTTCCTTGCCATTCACAACATACGCAGTCCCTGGTCCTAGTCAGCTGAAGCCCTCTCTGGCAACCACTTTTTCACCTTCTCCTCTGTGTGTGTGTGTCTCTTTCTCTCCACTCATGTCATTCCCCTCCAGAAAGATATTTTCCCACTTTTTCCCTCCCTTAACGCAGACCTTTTGGTCAACCGATCCTTGGAAACCCTATGGGGCAGTTCTTCTGTCCTATAGGGTCGCTATGAGTCAGAATTGACGATGGCAACTTTTTTTTTTTTTAAGACATGATCTGAAAAGAACCCAACTTCTGAACCAGAATAAAAGTCTATAAAAAGAGTTCCTAATTAAAAATAAAAACAGGAGGCAGGGATATTTTCTGGGCCTTTGACTAAATCTTACCTTAATTTCTTGGTTTAGCAAGGTGACTACTATGAAACTTACAGGGGGAAACGAAGATTTATTGGGCATAGTGCTTTCCATACTAGCATATCTTATTTTAATCCTCCCAACAGCTTAACGAGGTCTGCGTTATCTCCATTTTACGGTTGAGGAAAAGAAGGGTCAAAGAGAGTACATATCTTGCTCAAAACCACACAGCAGAGCTGGGAATCAAGCCCAAGTCCATCTAATGCCAAAACCTACACTTTCTCTACTTCATCAGTAGAAAAAGCCAGTCAGAATGCCTCATGGCAGATCAGTGAGTGGGCCATGTTCTGTGTGTGTCTCTGCCACCCCTCCCCCACCAACTTTCCAAGTGTGAGTATGCACTTACCTGGTGTGCCTGCTGGAGCTCGAATGTTTTGTTTGAAAAAAGGATCACTACCCTCCCCTCAAATTATTTAACAATTGTATCATTCTATATTTCTTGTAGTCTCCTTAAAGCTTGCAGTGAAAATAGGGGCTTACCTTTATGTTTTCTCTGTCTGCTCTCTTAATATGATGCTTGCTAATTATTTTTTATTCAAGGTTCAAAGATTTCTTCTAGTTAATTTTTTTTCCTAAATGTCTCAGTATATGAACCGGCCTTTTAATATGCATCTTTTCATTTTTAAGATTTCAGTACTAGATTCCATCCAGCAGCTGATAAATTTCATAGTTCACGTTCCACAAGGGTTATAGCTGCCACCTTCTGTTCTTCTCTACGGCCAACTCCTCAAGCCTCCTCTACCATTAATTCAGTGACCTCAACCTCTCACAGCTCAAAGCAGTGCATGAAGCCCCTTCTTAACTCATTAATAAATGACTCCATGGATCTGCTTTTTAATATGCACAAGCTCTTCCCAGGGCAGGAAACCAAAACCCACAAATGAAAAGACCATTCAGGAATGCATCGTTACCTCAAGATCCCTTTGTTGAAATTTTTTGATACTTGGCTTTAAAATGTCTTCAGATATAGGGGGCTCATACTGAAAATTCAGGAGATTGTCAGAGGGATCTCAAGGTTCTGATGTCTTCCAATAGAATCACATCTTCAACTGTACAGAAATGTTGGCCCATGAGTCACAAATTAAGTCAGAACTATCTAGTAAGCACATTCTTCACTCTCCAACCACCCCATCTCCTATTCCCATTGTTTTAAATCTTCTACAACTAGTAACAGCGGCCTCCATTTATTAAGAACCGGCTAGTACCTGGGTAGTGCAAGCAGTTAAGGTGCTTGACTATTAACCAAAAGGTTGGAGGTTTGAATCCACCCAGAGTTGCCTCAGAAGAAAGGCCTAGTGATCTGCTTCTGAAAAATCAGCCACTGAAAGCCCTATGAGCACACACGGGGTCAGCTCTCTGATACGCATGGGGTTGCCAGGAGTCGGAATCGACTTGACAGCAACTGGTTTGGTTAGTGCACACATTAATCTAACAACATCACATACATTATCTCATTCAATTCTCCCAATAAATTTATAAGAAATCAGAGGGCTAGGGGCTCCATAAGCTACCTCAGGTCACCCAGCTAGTGTGACAACCAGAATTCAAACCCAAGTGTGATATCAAGGCCCTCATCTTAATCATTGCACAGTACCATTAGTCACAAAATATTTTCTTCCCTCCTGAAATATGTGCTTCTCCAAGTAAAGTCAGCACAACAGCAGAAGAACCCAGGAGACTCTCTTTGTTAGATCAACATGTTTTCACCACAAAAGGGTTAGGAAATAGAAACAGTTTTTAAAAAAATGGAGGTTCTGAAGACTACTTTCACCTCTGACCCCTTTCCTGCTGTCAGAGGTCAGATGAGCAGTCATTGGAGCAAACGGAATGAATCTGTGGTCAATTTTTCATTCACGTTTTTATATCCCTGACTGAGAAGAGAGAGAAGGCAACATGGGCTCCGTGTCTGGATTAATTAACAACTGCTTTAAATGGCATCCTCTCGGCATTTCACTCCTTGCCTCTCACTCCAGTGAGTCACGAAATGAGGACAGGGCTCCAGGGACATGAATACCACAGCTGCACAGCCATGAACCAGAAATGACAACAGACACAGGTGTTAAGTTCTTTTCTTTCTCCATGGGTTCTCCACTCCCACGCACCAAAAAGTGTATCTCTACAGACATGGGGAGCTCAAGGATTGCCCCTACAGAGTAAGAATCTGGCATGTTCCTCTGAGCAGGCACAACTAGTCACTTAAAACTAAAGCACTAAGCCCTCCATCACTGTCATGTATATGAAGTTCACCTTTGCTCAACTTTCAAACTGAAATACTTCATTACACTTGAGAACTTAGCTGGCACAAGCAATCCATTTCTTCCCCACTCACTTCATGAGACCCATTTTTAAAAAAATTATTAATAGTCAAGAGACTCAAAACATGCCAGCCAAGATTTGTTTGGCAAAGGAAATTTACTATATCTCTTGAAACGCAGCGTTTAAAGATAAGCTCCAATATTTTTTTTTGCTAAACTTTTCACCTACTCGCTTGAGAGAAGAATCCTGACTCCACACAAAATGAGCACCTTAAAAATGAATTCTCAGCACCCAGTGTTCTAACCCACTTACCTTCAGTGTTGGAACTGATGTTGTCTTCCACTCCTACCACATACCTCCTGCCACTCCGAGGTGCAGTGTGATCTGGCAAGGGGTAATGTGGAAGAACAACTTCTCCTCCAGGATGAGCTGCAGGAACATACATTTCTGAAGGCACCACACCTCCATTAGGATACTGCTGGATGTGTTCATTTTCAGGGTAGGGTAGGGCTTTCCGGGAGGGATTCGGTGAATCTCTGTCTGTCTCTGGTGGAGCTGGGCTTCTGGTCTCTGTCTGTTCAGAAGGAGGCTCAACTTGGCCATTTAAACCTGGAGTATCTATTTTCCCCAGAGGTGCCCCCTCTTTGGCTTGAGGATCCCAGCTGGCAGATTCTGTTTGAGGAAAGAATGGCCAATCACTAGGTGTTGGATGTCGCAAAAGGGGGGCCAGATCAGAGTCTGGTGGAGAGACATCACCTCCTGAAGGCCTTGAATCAACTTTTGAATGGAAGGAAACATCAACAGAGCTGTGGCCATTCCTTGCCTCCTCTGGTTCACTCGTGGGATAGTCAACGTCCTCCTCATTCTCATCATAATAATCCAGATTGTCTTCAGTATAGTCACTTTCCAAAGCTGCAACATGGCTGATGGAATGTTCCAGAGAAGCCAAGGTGTGGGCTTTGGAAAGTTCCCCTCCAAGTGTTGCTGGTCTGACATTGTCCAATGAGGAGACGCTGCCAATATGAAAAGCCCACACTCCAGGAATCCCCAGGTTGCTTAGTCTAAATAAAAAGGGAACAGTTCATTGTAACAAAAGTGTCCATTCACCCACCTTTCTAGAGGGTGACCAATTTATTTTAAAACTGAAAGACTATTCAGATCAGATTCAGGGTTTTCACTGGTGTATAAAACCAACTAAAACTGGACTCAATGGTAACTAAAAGGATTATGTTGAAATTTTGATGTAAACTATCTTTTATTTAATATTCTATTTCAAAGGCTGTATGCCCACAAAATGCTAAGATCATTAAGTTATAAATTTGCTCAACAATCCAAATGCTTTACCTAAAATCTGGCTATGTGAAAACAAACACAGAATATGGGAATATTTTACCCTTCTTTCACTTGTTTGAAAACTTAGACTCAAGAAAACATATGCTTAAAAATCTTTCCCAAACACTTAAACAATATAACTACTATTTGCTTTTGAGAGATAGTTATGTGCCAAGTGCTTAACATTCTTCAATACACTCTGCAAGATAGGGACAGTTGTCATGCCCAAATTTACATAGGAAAAGATAAGTTTAGAGAGGTTAACTGTTCTTTTCAGTCACACAACTAATGATGGGCAGAGTCTGGGGATGAATTCAGGGAGCACTCACTGGTGGTGCCGTGGTTAAAGCTCTCGGCTGCTAGCTGAAAGGTTGGTGGTTTGAACCCACCAGCCATTCCACTGGAGAATGATGCTGCAATTTGCTTCCATAAAGATTACAGCCTTGGAAACTCTATGGGACAGTTTTACTCTGTTCTGTAGGGTCACTGTGAGTCAGAATTGACTTGATAGCAACGGGGCTGGACATGAATTCAGCTCTGATACCAAAGCCCATGCTCTAAACATCTACAGTGTATCATGTGGGAAAACCAATAAATACACTATGGTCAATCAGCATCTGAATTATCATTACTCTATGGAATGTTAAATACATTTCACTGTTTATTCACATGGGCTTCACAGACAAAGATGAATTGATGTAAAAAATCCAAAGAAATAAAATGCCCAAGCCTAGAAAATTCCGAGAAAATGCACAACAAAGCTAAGGGGAAAGTAAGAAGCCTAATCAAAATGACAGGGGTCATAGGCAAGAGGTCTTTCCAGAGACCTCTGGAACCAGAGAGCTCACTTGGTTTCTCCACTAGAGATGAATGTGGTCTTCATTCAGTCTTCCAAATATCCCAATAACTTATTCTTTTAGAGTCAGTGATACATTTTGAATAGAAAAACTGCATATAAGATTTCTAAAAATAAGAAAAAACTTGAACAAATAAGGGCCGGGGAAGCTTGAGTATACCACTTTATTACTCTGGTTATATCGAAAATATGCTCAAAGTTTCCCATGCTTAAAAGTCAGTCAATGAGGAAATAGACAATAAATTCATTGAATTGTATAAAAACAAGAGACTTTTGCTCATTTGGATAAGTATTCATCCTGTTAATATGGATTTCTATAGTAATAATACTTTCCAATACAATTCTGAGAATGTCTCTTTCTCTTTCTTGTATTTATATGTGTATGTATAAGTTGTTATTGCTGCTGCTGCTGCTGTTGTAGTTAATTTAGCGAAAGTGGAGCACAGAAAGCAAAACTGTGATCCTTTGTGCAACATGCTGTGTACACCTGCTAAGTTCATAAAAATTAATGTTGGTGTTTTTTGGCAAGCAAATAGGGAAAACTATAGCAGATAAGAGAAAATCCTGAAGATCAGAGGATATTGAGTTTATTATCACATTAGAGGTGTTGCAGCTGTGAAATTTCTTCTCGAAGTCAGAAATAAAAAACTATAAATAAGCTTCAGCGAATAGGGAAAAACAAATTATAGCAGATAAAAGCAAAATAAAATAACCTTCTAATTAAATATAAATCACTGTCCTGGCTTTTGCCATTATGCATGATTAGAAAGTAACCAATTTGAGTTTATTCTAAAATCCAAAGGCGTTTGGAAAACTTAATGATAGAAAGAACTTAATCTATTTCTGAGAAAGAAGAACATGACTACAAAATGGAATGATAACAGTTTCCTTGCTGGGTTATTAGGAGGGTTAAATGAGAAAACACGCATAAAACACCTAGCACGGGGCCCTACACATAATAAATACATAGTAATTACTGTCTTCTCTTTCAGGAGATAGAAAAGCATAAACTCAAAAAATGCAAATGTGTACACTCCTACTTAAGTTTGCAGAAAAAAGTTAAGACATACAAACTATGATTTATATAATTTTTGACTTTTGAGCTTATACTTTTCAAGAAAGTTTGAGGGAGAGAAAGAGCGCATTGAATAGGAAAATGTCTTTCTTCTTTAGAGATGCAGGCTGAAGTATTTAGGAGTGAAATGTCGTGATGTTTGTGACTTATTTTAACACGCTTGAGCAACAAAAAAGATGAATACGGCAAAATGTTGACATATTTAAATCTAGTGATGGGCATTGTTCACTCTAAATTTCTGTATATTTTTAAAAATTTAAATAATGAAAAGTAAAATAAAAGATTATACTGAGGAATATTTGTGTAATTTTGAGATAGAAAAGGTCTTTCTAAGAATGACACCAAGGCCCAAAATCATAATGGAAAAGATCAATAACTTTGATAAGCCTAAACTTACAACTTCTAAATCATAAATAAATTTAATAACAACAACTGGGTGAGAGTTAATATCCTTACTATATTTTTTCTTATTTATAAAAGCTCTTTCTAAATACCCCAGTGGAAAATAGCAGAGTATGGACAGAAAAGTAGCAAAGACAGATATATAAATGGCTATGAAATATATGAAAACGTTTTCGGTTTTACTAGTAACCAAAGAAATTAAAGTGCAAATGTGAACATTTTATACCTATCAGACTGGCAAATATTAAAAAGCATAAAATTCAGCAGGGTAAGAGACACTATCAATTACAGCTCTACATTAATGGTGAGGAAATAAGTTGGTGAACATCTCTGAAGCCTAATGTGCATTACAATGTTTATTGCAGCATTATTTATAACAGGAAAAAATCAGAATGTTTTAGGTTTACAAAAATGTTTATCATTAAGTTATTGTCTTACTAATACAGACTATATATGCCACAATGTCTTACAGACTTAAATGATAACATAGACAGGTATCTGACTGAACGATGCCCATAATACAGTATTATGTGGGAAAATGCCACATGTGTAAAAGCAACTTTTTGGTTTAAAAAAAATTTTTTGCATATGCCTAAAAAATCTGGAAGAATTGTTAACACTGGTTAGCACTTGAAGTAGCAGTCATAGGTGATTTTTACTTTTATATCACATTATTCTGTATTGTTTTTACTTTCTTTTATTTTTTATATTAAGCATGGATTACACTAAAGAAAAATCCGTTCATCAGTCATTTTGGCCCTTTATCTTATTCAGCTCTCATCAAGCAATTAAGAGACTTCTGGGAGGCATCAAAGATAGAAACGGGGGGAAACATATGGAGAGGGTAAATAGAAGTGCTCTGTGTGTGTATGTATTGCTTAGAGGCCTTCATGGCCACTATTAGGGAATACAAGTGATTTTTCCCACAGGCTTTTTGGACCCTACTGCCTCCTGCACCCTTGCAGATGTTAGTACTTATTCCAGTGGTCTGTAATTGTTGATGCATTTGTCTGTCTGAGGTCTCCAGAGTAAGAGAGAAGAGGATAGAACCAACGGGAGAGTAAGCACAGAGCTAAGTTTGCTCCAGAGTCTAGACTAAAGTAAAAGGTAGCCTCTGTGGAGACCTAAAGATACTCAATGTAGGTTATAAGAACGGGAAAGGAGACAAGGATCCAGCAGAGGTTCTTTCTAAAAATAAAAGTTAAACAGGAGGTAAAGCAGAGAACTCAGAGCTGCAGACTTGTACTTGAATTTTGACTTTGCCACTTAATAACTTTGAGATTATAGGCAATTTACTTAACTTCCCTAAGCTCATTTGTAAAACAGAGAAAATAGTAGTACTACCTCCTAGAATTCTTGTGAGATTAATTAATCTAATGTTCTTGTGAGATTTAATTAATCTAATATTCTTGTGAGATTTAATTGTTTAGCACAACAGCTGGCAAATAGTAAGCTCTCGATAAATGTCAGCTCTGAGTACCCGGGTTTGGCTGCAGTGCCCCACTCTCTGGTAGCTGAGCAGAGCAGAGCAGATGGTATACAAAGTTGTAAGGGGTTCAAGAATGATTTAATGAAACTGAGAAGTAGTTAAGGGAGGCAAGGAAGTAACCAATATGTTCTATCTAGCTTCTGGACCAGTTTTCAGGAAAGGCACAAAAGTAAAGTGTAAAGGAAAAAAAAAAAAAAAACCCTGAAATCAATAAATATCAGCTGATGCTAACCTAGAATCTGGCACTATCTGGCCTGATGAAAAGGGGAAAGGCTTATCGTACTAGTGAGTAAGCCATTGTTGGGACTGAGGAGTGTCTTCATTTCTGGCTACCTCATGGAAAAACAATATAATTTCAGGTAATGAAGTCACAGAGAAATCCTGAGACATCTAAAAATATACCAATCTGTTGTTAGTTTTTTTGTTTGTTTTTCTCTTCCAAATTACATTGCTTTTAATTTAATTTTTAACATGTATCTGTCCAAAAGATTAAATCACAGTGTATCCTCCTATGAAATGATTAACCTGGAAAACCTCAATTTAGGCAGTTATATTATTGGATATTTTCACGTGGTTCCAAGAACAATGTTTGTCATAGCATGCCTCAGTGGCTTTGTAAATACATATACACATTGCTTTGTTTCTGCCATCTATACCCCGATAGGACAGGAAAAATAAAAATTTTGGTGAACTTGACCCTCCCAGAGTCTAATTTCTGGTATTGACCTGATGCCTTGCTTAGAAGCTACCAAGCTATTATTTAGTGGTCTTATGGACACTCAAGTTTGAGCAGTTTCTAAAGGTCCTGACATTCAAACAGGAGAGGTTTAAGCTCTTTGTTACTTACTGGTAGAGATTTTTTACAGACTGTTCAGTGCTTGTCAAGCTGAAATATGGTCCTTCTCTCTTCAAATCATCGGCCTCCCCTCGGCAGAAGCCCACCCGGGCTGGAAGCTCGAGCTGGACGTTGTAAGACTCTTTGGGGCGAGTTCCAAAGAACTGAAGGCCATTGGCAGGATAAAGAAAGAGGGCGTAGGTATCAGACTCATCAGATACCAAAACTGCCTGAAAAGTGTTCAGCTGAGGAAAAAAAAATGAGAACATTAAGTTAGAAACACCCTTAAAAAGCAAACAAACAAACAAAATGGAATGCACACAAAGCATCATAAAAAGTGGAAAGGATTTTCTCCCTTCTCAGGTACTCCTTGAATTTCTCCAAATTGTTTTTATATAAATAATTATAATCTTTATGAGAAATACAAGGAGTACCTGAGAAGGGAAAAAATCCTTTCCACTTTTTATGATTATAATATTCTTTTAAATTTCCTCTTCTGTTACAAATGTAATTTTATGTTATATTACTCATTGTTAAACTCACCTTTAATCAGCCTAGATTAATAGTTGAAACATGCATAGATAACACAGAGGTTAAAAAATTAAAATATATGCACCGCTATGGAAAAGTTTGGTTGTTCCTCAAAAAGTTAAACAGAGAACTACTATAGCCAAGCAATTTCACTCCTAGGTATATACCCAAGAGACTGGAAAGCAGGGACTCAAACAAATACTTGTACACCAATATTGATTGCAGCATTATTCACAATAGCCAAAAGATGAAAACCCAAGTGTCCATCAACAGATGAATGGATAAACAAAATATGGTATATACATACAATGGAATATTATTCACATAAAGAGAAATTAAGTTCTGATACATGCTACAACATGGACAATCATGTTGTAAAATATGCTGAATAAATAAGTCAGACACAAAAGGACAAATACTGTACAACCCCACTTACATGAAATATCGGGAATAGGCAAACACATAGAGACAAAAGTTTACTGGTGGTTACCAGGGGCTTAGGGAATGGAAGTTATTACTGAAGGGGTACTAAGTTTCTGTTTGTAGCGATATCAAACTTCTGGAAATGCATAGCGGTGATGGAAGCACAGTAGTTAATGTCACTGAATTGTACATGTAATAATAGTTAAAATGGCAAGATTTTGTTATATATATATTTTACCACAATAAAATTTTTTAAAAAATGTTTTTTAAGGTTTCAAATTTCTCCCTCCCAAACCTCTTTGAGCTGGTAACAAGCAGCAACTTTAACCTGGGCAGCCACTGCCCTAGTTTACTGCCTTAGGCATTCAGCAGCTCCTGTCTGAGCCAGTGATTCATTCACACATCCATTTACTGAATGCTCATTATGGGCCGGCATGATGTTAGGCACTGGCAGATCAAAGGCTTTCTTACTGCTCTCACAGCCTCACTCTCTTTTCCATCTACCACTTCACACCAGCACGAGAATTATCCTACCTTCATTTCACACTTTAGGAAACAGACATAGAGGCTAACAGATCTGGCTAAGGTCAGGTAGCTGGTCTGTCCAACTCCAGAGTCTGAGACCTGAACCACTAGGCCATCCTAACTACTCTTTAGCATGGTATTCAAGGTGATTTATAATCTGGCCCCAAACTCTCTTCCAGGCTTAATTCCACGACACCTTCATCAGATTATTTAATATTGCACATTTGTACCATGTTTTTTCATGCTTCCATACTTTTGCTCATGTTTCCCTATGCCTAGAAACCCTAGTAAGTCCTCAAATGCTGTTTCTCTGAGGTGTTTTGTGATTCTCTGCAGAATTATTTATTTTTTCTGACCATTCATAACACCTTGTGGGCGTCTCTAGCCAAGATTCACCTCTTTTTGCCTTATATCATGTTAGCTGTTTACATGTTTGTAAACTCCATTCATTTATTCATTTGTACATCAATTCCAACAGCCAGGTGCCTACTAAGCACTAGGCTTTATGCTTGGTGCTGGAGAGGCAAAGGAGCAAAAGGCAGGGAGGCTCTGACCAGGGAAGTCTAGCAGTTTCAGAGGGAGAAACAGCCTTGGTTGGAATTATAAGAGTGCTATTGGACAAGGTGGTAGAGGCCGCAGAGGAGGGTGTGTGCCCAAGACCTTGGGGCTGGAGGCAGGGAGGCATCACAGAGGCAGCTTGTGAATGTTAATAAACACTGCAGGAGCCAGAGCAGACCAGGAAAGAGAAACCAGGAGCCTGAATTATCCACAAACTCAACACCCAGGCCCGTATAGAATCACTCTCAGATTTTCAAACAAAATATTTTCTGCCTTTACCTACAACTTGCTATCCTTTTTTTTCCCCCTATAAGATCCATCTTAAAAGGATGTTATATTTAGGAATCTGATAATACCTCCTTCTGTAAATCCCACTCCATTTACAATTTAGTAGGGGAGTGGAGAAGTATTTTAAAAATATTACTTACTTTATGGAGCCCTGGTTGTGTAGTAGTTAAGAGCTTGGCTGCTAACCAAAAGGTCACCAGTTCAAATCCCCCAGCTGCTCCTTGGAAACTCTACAGGGCAGTTCTACTCTATCCTATAGGGTCACTCTGAGTCGACTCAGAGGCAACGGGTACTTACTTCATAAATGCAATGGGTACTTACTTCATAAATAATGTGACTCTTAGAAACATTACTTGCTAATAAGTAGTATTGTTTTCCCACTTTGCTAGACAGACAAAATTAAGCACGGAGAAGATCATCTCATCTTACTAAATAAAACACAGCAAAGGAAAGGAATGTGTCCTCATTTTGTTCTGTCCTGGGTCCTTGCCCATATGTTGCTCAAGCTCTTCCTGATTTTTAATTTTTCCTTTCAATGTTTAATTTCCAAGTATAGTTTTGAGGTTTTGCTTACAGGACAAATAAATTCAGGTGTTAATATGCTTTTCAAGAAAAGCAAAATACTATACATCCGTTCTTTTAGTTCTCTAACATAGAAAAAAAAAATCATCTTTCTTTTCTATTTTCATCTTAAATCCACAAAGTAATAGCCAAAGAGCCTGGTATATTATTGTTATAGCTGTTGTTTCGTCAGCAAAGCTTTGACTTTCTAAAAACAAAAGGCAAAGCATGTTTTCTAGAATTTCTAAAAGTTAGGAAACCATAACTTCTGCCCAACGTAAACAACAGCTGTTCTGTATATGTCTTTACACAATATACATTATACCATCAATTAATGTTGATTAAATAATTTCTGAGTGTTAGTGTAGTTAGAAGAAATGACATTCAACTAGGGAAAGAAAGGTACTCAAGGAGAAAGAAATTCATTTTAAAAAGCTAAGCTTTCAAAGCTCCTGGCATTGATCTCCCGTAGTAAAAGTAAGATAGGAGGAAATTCTGGTTCTAAGTTTAGGGAAATTCTATAAGATAAGGAGGTTGTATAGATTGTGAGGGAGTTGAAGGGGATGGGGGTGAGGAGGGAAGGGGAGAAGTAAACAGAGCTCAGGCTGTTTACTGTGGGGGAGCCTGGCTTTTCACTGTGGGGTTTGGGTATTTAGTACTTTTTTATTTGTTCTTTCAGTTAGTCTGTCAGTCAACAAATTCATTTCAATTAAAATTTATTCAACATCTTTTATGTGCCATCCCTGAGAAAAGCACTTATTATAGGTGCTAAGTGTTTAATGTACTTGTTTCTACTGAAACAGGCAAATATCAGAGGAAGAAAACAACTTCGTCTCAAAGAGAACTTGTGATTCCAAAATATACTCCAAAAGAGTCTGGCTGTTGAAAATCCACGCAGCACACCAAACGATCACTTCTAAAGTTCTGTCTCTGTTCTACAAAATTCTACATCTCATTGCTAAAGAGCCCACTTCATTAAGTCCTGAAAGGCTGCTCCTCCCAAAGCACTCTTTGACTGGCTTCCAAACCGGAAAGGTCATTACATTCCTAGACAGATACAAGAATTTGCAAGAGCCCCACACACTCTGTCTCGGAAGGGAAACCCTCAGATGGGCTGCCAAACCCCACGAAAGGGTCACTGGTTCCTAACTCCCCCAGGATCCCAGAGAGGAGAAAGAGCCTCCAGGGGAAGAAGCGCAGTAGGAGGATCAGGGCTAGTGGCCGCGGAGTCTCAAGGTTTCCACCATCCTGTTATCGCAAAGAGAGAAAAGCCAGAACCCTCAGCAAAAGCCAGGCAGAAGGAATCTAACTCTCCCTCCCAGGTATAGGATGGCACCAATCAATGATGATTTGACATGCAGCAGAGCCAGGCTAATGGATACAAAATATGCCCTTCTATGAATTTCTAATTTTTGCAACTGATTTAATTAAGTTCAGTCATCTAGCAAAAAATCAGAACAGCGCCAAAAAGGCTGCCTATAGAGGCTTACAAAAATGGGAATTAAAACTAAGAAGTAGGGGTGACTTCTACTGGGGTCACAAAGTTCTCTTTCCTGTCTTCCTTAGGGCCACATGCTTTCTATAGCTGTAGGATCACTGAGTTCTGGCCTGATCTTACATTGCTTGTAGGACATTGTCACATATATAGATTATCTCATTCATATTCTGCCATAAATCCTACAGCATCTACAAAAATTCAAAGATAAATGTTTAGTGCTATCAAGTTCCTATTATATCCTTCCTGACACTTGATGTTGTTAGGTGCCGTCAAGTCAATTTCAACTCACAGTCACCCCATGTGACAGAGTAGAACTGTCCCATGGGGTTTTCCAGGCTGTAACCTTTACAAGAGCAGATTGCCAGGTCTTTCTCCCATGGGGCTGCTGAATGGATTTGAACCACCAATATTTTAGTTAGCAGCCAAGTGCTTAACTGTTGCACCACCAGGCTTCTTTCCTGACACTTAATTTTTAGCAAAACTTCAGCATTTCTTTAATCAATTTCCATATATGTCTCTCTTTTCTATGGCTTCACAGCTACATCTCAGACTCAAGTGAAACTCTTTCAGATAGATCGTAGGCTTCCCTTTTTCTGGACCTTAGCTCCAGAAGTCAAAAAGCTACAACAAAGTCTTGCTTTCACTTCTCATTTTCTCTGTGGAATAAACACACACACACACACACACACACACACACACAC